CTGAGCACAGACATTTAGTTAAGTGTTGGTTTGCTGACACGTGGGGCTTAGCATGAGTGACTCCATTTCGAGTCCAATCTTGTTCCTTTAACAGAACTAATGTGAATCTTCCTAAATGAAAATAGTTAATTGCCTAATTTCAGAGTTATATAAATTGTATGGCAATTCACATGGCAGCTCTAATTTTAACTGTTAATGGAAATATCTACTATCCTTTGGTAAGTTTAGTTTTAAATTTTGCAGTTTTCAGAACCATGACCCTTGCACTATATGTGACTGCCTCTGTGACACTGTGAAAATATGTAATTCACTCTTTGAAGAGGATTCACTTAAACCTTGACTGAAGAAATTGAATTCTAACTAGAGGTCTACAATCTCTTGTTCACAGTTAAAATCCAAAAGGTGAAAATAAGAAATGAAGAGATCTCAGAAAATATGAAAATTAATTATTGATTGAAGAAATTGGAAAATTCATAAGTCAAAGTATTATTCCTGAATTAATCAAAGGATTCCTTAGGGTCTCCGATTATATATTAAGTCTTATTATGATAGGGACTTGGAAAATACTTCATCTTATATTGCCCAGAGTTGTCTTTCAGACCATAACAGGACATTTGTTCACAAAGTATAATTAAAATATTTTCATTGTCTCGTAGAGAAATCAGAACAATTCATCCATTTCCCACTTATAAGAATTTTTAAAGTTTGAGTTCATCAAAACAAAACATTTTTAGGAGGATTTGAGACTTAAAAATCTGTTTCGCTTTTCAGCATGAAAAGCCCTGGGTTCGTCAGCAGTGTGGACAGAGAGCTGGACCTCACGGGGAAGCTGAGTGGTTCAGAGTGGACGTACAGGCTTCAGTCCCAGGACTGAAGCATTGCCGCCACCCATGCTCCCTGCAAACTCAGTGCACAGCCTCCAGCCCCTTCTGTTTCATCCCTTGCCCAGTGAATCGGTTAGGTCAGCGAAGGACCGAATGACCGCAGAGGGGGAAAAACAGAACCTTGGGGCGCAGTTTATACAGTCGGTAAAGCTGCTCAGCAGCTGACATAGAAAATGAAGCCAGCCAATGCTCTGTTGACTGCGACTTTTCTCAGAACAGCTAACTGCCCACTTTTCACAAAGATATAACGTAAAAACTTGCTTTTTTCTCTGATTTGTCTATTTCAACAATTAGTAGTCTATATTGAGGTAAACTTAAAGTTGAGACTGCCACATGGGAAATATCTCATTTAATTACATTCAATGTATATTTCCTATTCCTGTATCCACCCTGTATGGAAATCTGCTTTTCAGCCCCTTTGAGTATCAGTTTAGTACTTCTCTGGCTTTTTTCCCTCAGTGTGCCTTGCAGATTTTCTTTCCTCTTGCTTTTCTTCCCTTTTATGGCTTGACCTGCGCCTCTTCCATTAAGGTATAGAATACTCATCACTGCTTGTAGAGCTTTCCCTGTCCCTTTCCTCCATGCCTACCTCCACCCAGGAGAGGTCTTGCTCCTTCAGGTGAGGGTCCTGAGAGAGTGAGTGAATGGGATCCACACGTGTTCATTCTTAGAAGAAAAGAGAGTGCGGGTGCAGTGTGAGAAAGGAAGCGATTTAGCAAGGGACCCCAACCCTCGGGTCTGGACCGGTACTGGTCCGTGGCCTGTTGGGAACTGGGCCACACAGCAGTGGGAGGTGAGTGGCAGGTGAGCAAGTGAAGCTTCATCTGTATTTGCAGCCGCTCCCCAGCGCCAGCATCACCGCCTCGGCTCCACCTTGGATCATTAGTCATTAGATTCTCATAGGAGCTCCGGTCCCTGGTGCCAGAAAGTTGGGGACTGTTGGTTTAGCGCATGAAATGGGGCTGCCTAATTTTGAATTCCTACTCTGGCATTTAATCTGTGACCTTTGGCAACTAACTTAACCTCTCTATGCCATAGTTTCTGCCTCTGTCAGTTGGGGATAATAATAGTACCTCCTCATGGATTATTGTGAGAACTTAAAAAAAATAATACATTTAAAGTACAATATGATATAGTGGTTAAGAACATATACTCGGAAGCCAGACTGCCTGTGTTCAAATCTCTGCTCCATTATTTAGGCAATCTTTTTATTCTTCAGACTCCTCATCTGAAAAGTAGGGTAAAAATATTAGCTACCATGTTTTTGGTTAAAAAAAAAAAAAAAAAAGAATACCTACTGTTAGGGTTTTTTAAAGAAATACATTAATTAAAATATGTAGGCCAGTGTAGGCAAATAGTTAACACTATTTACGTATAAATTATTATTAAAAGCCTTAGGTAATGGTCTGTCATATAGTATGCACTCAAAACAGTTGCTATTACAAGGAATTCCCATTTTTTAACAAAATTCTGTAAGTGGAAAGAATAATCATAGTTTTAAAGAGAGGAAAGCAGATTAAAGCCACAATATGTGTGCCACTACCACCCACAGGAATAATTGAAATGAAAAGGACAGTACTAACGAGAACTAGAACTCTCATATGTGGTTGAGTATACGTTAGTACAGCCACTTTGGAAAACTGACAGGATCTGTGAACTTCCACATATCCTTAACCCAGCAAATCCAGTCCTAGATGGATACACAGGAGACAAATGCATGCTCGTGTGCACCAAAGGACATGTAACAAAAATAATCATGTAACAACTCACTAGCCAGAAACTAGAAGCAGCACTAATTCTGTACAAGAAAAAGAATGAATGAATTATAACAATATGTGTATTACACAGATATAATGTATAAAAGAAGGCGGCACGAAAGAGTACTTTCTGTATAATCCTCCCCCCCTTTTTTTTAAATTTTAAAAATGGCAAAACTAATCGATGGAGTTAGAAGTCCAGATAGTGGTGACCCTTTGGCAGGAGATGGTGACTGGAGTAGGGACCAAGGGTGCTTCTGAAGTTCTGTTGCTTGATCTAATTTGATGGTTACATCAGTGTATTTTCTTTGTGAAAATTTATTCAGATGTATGCTTGCGATCTGTGCATTTGTATCTGTGTATGTTAAACTTTAATTTAAAAATTTATTTTAACTCAGAAGGTTTGAGAATTTTGAAATGACATAGTTCACTTTTTCCACTTGCCTATCTTTCTGGAATTAAAGATTTCATGTTTTTAAAAATACAAATATTCACTATAATGCCAGAAACTTAACCAATCTGGCTCCTACCCTTCTTCTTAAATTGTGTCTTCAAGGCTGTAAAAAACTCTCAAGAGCAACAAATAAGTGGCTTGGGCAACATACTTTGAAGAAATCATTAGTTTTCATTTATCCTGTCACCTCATTATGAATTACAGTGACTACATATGTTATATTTAAAACTATGGTTTAGAGCTAGAGTCAGTCTTTTTAACCTTTCTCAGAGTGATACACTGACATCTTGCAGATCTGATTTGGTGGTTTTAAAGTTTGATTGAAGAGAGTTTTATGTGATCCAGCTGTGAGATGTAAAAGGCAAGTGTGAAGGTGCATGATGAGCATTAGTTGTAATTGATGCATGATGCTGTTTTAGTAACTTAGTGAGTTTCATCTTTGGGTATAATTTGTTTTGTTTAGTCTGCATTGTGCCCAGATTGATGATTGAAAACCTTACACTTTCGCAGAACACTGCTTCATAGCTCTTCCCTTTTTTGCTATTTTTATATCACATGAATCATTGCACATTTAAGCCATCTGCAAGGCCTGAATGGAATGAGATAAAAGCTGCCATCACTTAGATTGACACTTGAAAAGCTGGTATTCATTTGGAGTTTATTCCTGATTATCCTTTATATTTTAAAGTCTCAGACTTCACTTCAAGATGGTTGCTAACATCTCTGAGCCAAAAGTATCTCTGATTCGCAGTTTCTTTTAGTTGAAGATTGGGTCAAAGGGAAGGGATTTGTTCTGTGTCATCCAGAAGAATCTGTTAGAGACTCAGTTCTAACCCTGCTGAGATAATATGAACAGCAGGTTCCCACTCCTGTTTTAAAAGTATATTGGTTTAATTAGCTCAGTGAGCCATTTGGTTTGGCATGCACTTCATAGAGAATAGTAAAAACAGGGTTCTTAAATTACCTGATGAACACTTCGAAATAAAGATTTTTGAATGCTTAGAATATATTACTCCTTTTAGATATTTGTCAAAAGTGTTTCTTGACATAGCAACTTTTTTGAGGACATTGGGGAAAAAATTAAATGAACGTGAGCCTGAGATGTTGCAAAAGAGATACATGATTTAAATGCGTTATCACACTCACTTATACTTTCACTTATGGACAGACACAAATCTAGCATTTCTGTGTGTGTAGCAGATTAGTCAGGGTCCCTTCAAGCCTTTCCCAACAGATTTTCTCAGTGCACCTCTGGGCTACCGAACGTTGGCTTCTTATGCTGAAGTTAGCTGGAATTGCCTAGGTAGGAGAGTATCTAGACTCTCCAGAAACATTGGTTTCAGAGTAAGAAGCTTCTTCAGTTTTTAAATAAAAATGCTCATTGTCATAAGTGTCTCCTCTTCATAAATAATAACATAATATTTTGCTAACCCAGTAGTCATAAACTCTGGAACTAATAGAGTGAAATATAACAATATTTCCTTATTTCTTGAAATGATAGACCAGAAATGCTGTGATCTCTACAGCTAAGCACAACAGACTCATCATTTTCAAAAGGGAAAGATCTCAAAAATAGAAAGCTCTACTAAGAATCTAAGAATAATGATATTATTTTTATATCTTTAGTTATTCTAATGAATGTCCATGTGATCTTGAGCAAGTCACTTAATGTTTCTTTTATCTCCCATTTTACTAATGTCCTATAAATATTCAAAAGACCTAAACTATATTTTAAACATAGATAACATCTTTATATTTTTTTTTTCTCTGACGGGACAACTGTAATTTTTGCTTAAAGACTCACTGAGAAGGCTTGGGGTGAAGGAGTACTTCAGTTATTTTACATAATTCTTGTGAAGCAATTGTATTTATTTTTCATTCATTGTTGTTTATTTCTTTGCTTAGCAGACAGAAGGGGGAGCACAGACAGACGGCCAGCAGTCACAGACACAAAGTAGTGAAAATTCAGAGAGTAAATCTACCCCTAAACGACTGCATGTCTCTAATATTCCTTTCCGCTTCCGGGACCCAGACCTCCGGCAGATGTTTGGGGTAAGTCTCCAGAGTCTTCTTATGGGTTTTACCATTAAAATAGAATTTAATCCACCAGATGTATTATTAGTCATTAGTACTTTAGGATAAAACTACAAATCGATTGGGTAAGATCCTGTGGTAAATCAGTATTTTCATCAGAAACTTTTCCTGTCTTCTGTCTCTTCTGCACGTCAGCCTCGGCAGGTTCTCCCATAGATAAGGTGACCGTGGGATCCAGTTTGCTTGGGATAAGAGACCTCCAGTGCTAAAGTCAGGACAGGATGGTAGTTCCTGCCTTTCAGAGTGTTATGAATTAAATGAAATAATATCTGTGAAAGCAGATAGTACCTCTATTTTGTTTTTATTTCCTTGCTTATAACTCATCAGTGTCAAGACCAATCAATACCTAAAATCAGGTATAGGCGGTTAGTTCGCTCCCTCTGTTTAATTACTCTCAAAACCACTATCATGAAAACAAAGTGTAACAGCAAAGATTTAAGTTATTGGAAAGTGAACGACTGCTGAGAATCTTAATTTTCTTCTGGGCTTATGTGTTGTTGCCTGTTTTAATTTGACCAAACTCTTAACTTGGACTAGGACTAAGAGATAATTGGGTTCTTTTAAATTTTATTAGTATTGCTGCCTAGTGCTTTTGTGAGAAAAGAAATGCCCTTCTTAAGTCTTGGCCATTTCATGCAGTGAAGTCCTGTCACTTAGAGCTGGCTACTTGGATATGTGTTCCACACTGAAGGCCGGGCCAGGGTTGAGATTCAGTGATATTTTTGAAGTACTTGAAGAGAGCTTTGACCCAGAAAATGAGAGCCAGCTGGTCTCCACCTCTACAGAAAAGAAAGCAACAGAAAATACAAAGAGAAGCATAAGAATTCAGGTTACACGTAAGAAGAAACTTCCCAGGAGTATGAGGTACTAGGTCCTCCACTGAAGCATCAGAGATGACATGGAATCTTAATCTCGGAGGTCTGCGTAAATGGAATGCATGCTCACGTGTCAGAAGTGTGTTTTCTCTTGAATCAGAAACATAGTGTCCGTCGAAGATCTGCCTAGGCCAGTTATCAGTGATTTTTTAAAATGTATTACACCCTTCCTATAAGGCACTAAATGCAAAAAAATAAAATAAAAGAAGATAGGTGTCACTCTGTCTTCTTCCACATGATGAGTAGCACCTGTTACTTAGAAGGACAGTAGCGCTGGTGAAGAGCGAGGATTCCATGTCCATTTTATTTCTATTTTATTAGCTCTGTAAACTTGATGAACAGCTTCGTTCAGTCTCATTTTTCTTAACCATATAAGGAAGGCAGTCCTTACTCTAGAAGGATGTTATAAGGATGCAGTAGAAAATGTCAGAGAAAACAAACTCAAAAACACCATACACATCTTAGTTTTGTAGGATAGATGTAAGAATTAAACGCCCTCCTACCTAAAATAAGACAGTTTCCTCTTTTTTTGAGTTATCTAATTTTCTATTAAATGATGAAACTGGAATCAAGCCCAGAAGTCTTAATCTAAAAAAAAATTTTTTTTTTTTTTTGCTAAAGATAATAATGATTGAGCCCAGTGAGAAAGCATGATTTCTGTTTTGCTCTTTGCATTTTTTAGTTTTTGCACATTTCCCAATGTCTGGTTTGAAATCCAAGTGAAATAGATAAATTGGGTATGAGTCCAGTACTTAGAGGGAGGTGTGAGCCAAAAAGACATCTGGAGATTTACTGCACATTTCTTTCATGAAGTTCATCCAAATATCAATTAAGACGGGTAGTTTTGTCACCTTACATATATGTTTTCTGCAGATAATTTACTGTGATTTGTGTATGCCCTGCTACTCAGCTGTTTAGCTTTCTAACTATAGAGTTAAGTTATTTAGGCTTTGTGTTTTTAGCTTTGTTTGATTTTCCAAATGTTAAAATACTGAATTACAAAACAAAGTTTTACTATTTAAAATATTCTTGATGATGTTCATTGCAGAAAGATTAAAGTGACAAATAAATGGAATCATACGTAATGTCCATGAATGTTTAAATACGATGGAAAATACCTTGTAACCTATAGACATAACCCATATATTGACTTGGAAAGTTGTTCATAGCATATTAATAAAATAAAATAATATGTGGAAGTACTTCTTTAACAATATGTGCCCAAGGAAAAGCCAGGAAGGCTATGTACCAGAAGGTTAAGGTTCATTTTATGCTTCCCTTTTCCTTTTAATCTAATTTTCTAATTTTACAATGAACATGTTTTACTTTCATAAATTTTTTTTTTTAAAGGAGAATTAAAATAGCCTTCAATAGAATATCTTTCTACTTAGGATTTACTTCTTAAAACTGAGACATTTAAAAAAGTAAAGCTGTAGTTGGGAAAATCCCTAGTTCTTGCCCGTGTGAAGGAGTTTGTAACAGGGTAACTCTGAATCTCTTCTGCAAACAGCTTCCACCGTTTAGAGGTGGGTAAGGCGTGAGTGCGTGAAGTGAAAAAGGAGAACTCAGCTCAGTGATGAGGAAAACTTCGAAACTGGTATTGGGTTCTATCAACAGATAGAAGAAACATGGAAGTTAATTAAATAAGTAAAAGAAAAAGAAACCCTATTCTTTTTTCAAAAGAAAGTAAAGTATGTGGATAAAAGCTGACCATAAACAAATGTTTTCATTTTGTCTCTGCAGCAGTTTGGCAAAATCCTAGACGTAGAAATAATCTTTAATGAACGTGGCTCTAAGGTAAGCTCCATTTCAGCATGAACTATGCTTGGTTTCTTTTTAGTTTTATTTTAAACAGTACGTAATCATAAAACTTAAACTGCTTTTCAAGAAAAGTACCCTAGCTATCTAGCTTGGATTAGATTATCTCTAAAAATAAGCTACCACATGGCTAAACTTTATCCTAATGCTTAAACTGGTAGTCATGAGGTAGAAGCAGTAGAGGTTCGAAGGAAGAATATGCTAGTCAGGAAGATAGGCTGTCGGAGACACTTTCTTTATTAGACTTAAATTTGGCCTAAGCTTCTTATTTTAAAGGAAAAGAGAGAGAGGACTGACGAAAGTGAAATTCTATGAGAATTCTGTCCTGAATTCTGTTAGAACAGTTCAGCTTTTAAAAATTGAACTTTGAAATGACATACTTAGAACAAATTTAATATTTCAGTTATTCAGTTAAAATGCTCTCTCTCTTGAATAAATTTTGACAAAGCTTAAATACAGAGAGTAGTGACTCAGGAATTCCCTGTCAACTGATTTCCTCCTGAGTTATACCCAGGTAGGCAAGCTGCAGGAGGTCGAGTTACAAATAGTGTGAGTTGATTTTTCTTTTTTGCATAAAAATTAAAGAAGTAACAGTATACAATTTGATATATGTATTCTCCTCTAAATGTGTTCTGTATAAGAACTGAACTTTTTTATTAAAACTTTTAATAATTTATTTTAAATTCTCAATCTATGTGATTAGAATTTTTATACACTAAAATAAGCAGTAGTGTTTTTAGGAATGAAGAAATGGTTAAAGTCTTTACAGTGGCATTGTGGAAAAATATTTGATGAACTGAATTTCGGAAAGTTTTATTTGAAAGTTTTTTTCCTCAACAAATTAATTCCACCCTACAGACACAATCAGCTGTGGCCAAGCTTATAAATATTTACCTCGCTACATTCAGTTTTACTTGTGTTTTTAGGTTAGACCAGTTTTTGAATTAATTTTCATCTGGTCAGCTCTCCTAAAATTTGAAAGTAGCCCTTGGCTATGATTAAATTTTCTTAAGACTGTAATTTGAGAAAGCTCATTTATTTGCTTTATTATTTCTCTTCAATTTCTTATTCCAAATTCACTGTACTTTGGGAATTAATAACACATTATCAGGAGTTACATTTACCCGCCGCCCCCATCTGTACTAACACAAATGTATCTACCGTTTTAATGATCCTGATTACTATTCCCTTCCTTTATAGAATGCATCAACACTAAAAGTGTTTAATTCTGACCATAATTATTTTGTAATTATTAAAAGAGGTAATTATACTCTAAGCTTCCAGTTTTCAGTTAAAACACAAAAAGATTAATATGCCTATACAGAACTTTCTCCAGCACTTACCTGGTAAGTATTTTTAAAGTGAAATCTCTTCGAATTCTAACCAGTAAAAGTTTGATTGTAATTTCCTCACAATGGATTTCTATTCTTTTGTTGTGTATTTTGCTTTTATTTTTTGTGACCTTTTCAGATACAAGGTGGAAAAGTGACAGTGGTTTAGAGATGAGTAACACATGAATGTAAAATAAATATATGAAGATTATTGACTACACTGTTGATGTAAAGTAGCGGTTTAAGTGTTTTTTAAGTGTATGCACTTAAAATATCCTCCAGGCGACGCTGACAGCTTAAAGCCCAGTGCAATTTCACCAGGCATCGAGGATTTGTTCCTTGCCAAGAAAATAATTTGATTGAATTCTTGTGAAGCAAAGGAAATTGATCTTTCTTAAGGCTTCTTTCATCGACTTCAGGGATTTGCTTACTACCAAAAATTTTTAAATTTACCCGATTCAATTGCTTCTCCCTGTAACTTTCATTTTAAAATGACACAAGCCTGCCTTTTCTCTTTGGGGAATCTAAAAGCATATGCTGTTTCTCTCAGTTCGATGCTGTCCTCAACTGCCCATTTTTCTTTGGGCTACTGAAGGGTAGACAGGCTATTACTAATTGGTAAATGTTTTTAAAACAAAGTACAGAATTCAGAATTGTCCCGGATCTGCCTTTGGGAACTGATTCAAACACCTGTCTTCATCCTTGCCCTTCTTAGCTGTCAGCTCAGGTTCTTTACTTAGAATGGCCTCCCCTGGAACTATTCTGAGGCTCGTTAATAGAGATTTGTTTTGGAGTCAAAACCTAGATGCCTCTTCTGGGCTCCACTTAAGATAAATTAAAATTAAGTTTCGTTTTTCATTTCTTTCATGTTTGGAGTTAACTATAAAGTTACTACATGTCTTGAAAGGAACCAGAGAAAAGGAGACTTATGTAGTCCTATGGTTTAGTTAAGAGTTGTTCATAGTTGAGAGTTGTTCATTCTTTTCAGTGAGTGCTTTTCTATATAGAAATGAGCTTTACTGAATTTTTTTGAAGTAGTAATGGGAAAACTAGTCACAGAATAATTCTGAGATAAGTGATGCTTACACGTAAAACAGTGTTTAACCAAATGGCTCCAAAACAAAAAGCAACTCTTTACCGTGTCTTCTTTTTATAATGACACTTTTCGGCCCAAGGTTCTAGAATATACCCACTTAAAAGCATAAGTGAACACCGTTATGCTGCCATGCCCATCCCTTCCCTACCTTTTCAGCGTGCCTGGAGAGTAGAATTTCTGTGCTCTAGGAAGTAATCGTTTCTCTGTTGTTGACTAGTTTCCTTTTTTCTTCTCTGTTCTTCATATCTGGATTTGGTTTACCTAGATTAAGAATTATAGAATGGATATATATCATTTACATGCATCTATGTATACTTAAATTATTCCATGTGATTTTTAAAAATCCTTTTACTCCCTGTTCCTTTGTAAAAAAGTAAAGTCAGCTGTATCTAATTTCCTGTGATTAGCTTAAAGATAGACTATCCTTTTGAAAATGTTCAGTTAGGATATATAATGAAAAATGGTACCCCCACCAAAATATTAGCTAATATATTCAAACAGAATCTAGAAGATGATTATATGGATATGTGTGTCTTTATTGATTCTCCAAATTTCATCAGTCATGACAATATTAATATAAACAAGAGGATACTATATCGGTAGAGTGGCCACATGTTCTGGTTTAGCGACAGTAGTCCCAGTTGGTACCTACTGTCTTCATATACTTACTAATAATGTCCCCTTTTTCCCAGTTTGAACAATAAATTATATTGTCACTCTCCTTATAGATCCTTTGAGTAAGAACTTTTTTAAAGCACCCTTTTAAAAGCCATTACAAAAGGAAAACACAATATTTAATGAGTAGAGACAAAAAGCATACATAGTTCATTAAAGAGAATATACATTAATATTCTCACGTATTTCCTTGCAGTCTTTTTTCTCACATAGAATCTTATACAGAATGCTAAATAATGGTCACCTAGTTCAACCCCCAGTACTCCTGACCTTGCATTTTCTCTGCTAGACACTTTTAGTGACCGAGAACTTGTTGCTTTTCAAAGTTTATTCCATCGTTGAAATTTACACTTTGTACCATCCTTTTTATTATCACCCAGCCCCATAACAATTTGTGTTAATTTTCAAGCTTATTAAATAAAAAAAATGCAGATTGTAACATATTTCCCATAAAGTTTTGTCGACACACCTTTGTTATAGTTGTTGCTTGAAGGAGACATGTATGTATTATAAATATTGAACATGTAGAAGAAGCTCTTCACCTTCAGACAGTGCCAATTATTAAGTCCACTACAGGACTACAAAAGAGAGCATAGCAACAATTACTGAGATTTCTAGCAAATTTTTAGTTAATATGTTCTTATTCTCTCAGGTAGATATCTGGAATGGTGGAGAGCTGGGTTTGGCTAAAGCTTAAGTTTAGGCTGGAGTTAGGTCAGATAAAACCTCTATTTCCATTCCTGAGACACAAGTGATGTATTTCCCTGACTTTTGACTTCATGAAAAAGAGAATTACTTATTTCTTTCAAAATATGGTCAAAAGACTGTCTTTGAAGTTGTACCGAGTAGGCCTTTGTGATTTTCAGTAAAATTTGATAGGTAAAGCCAAAGTGAAATGTTTTTCATTATACCTAAAACTGAATGAACAGTACATGTATTTCATAAGGGCTTAGTTTGTTTTCTTTTGTTACCATTTTATGGGTTTTAGTTTTAGTTTTCTTTTATTTATTTTTTAATTTCTGTGTTCTGGCCATACCCAGGAGAACCGTCTGCTTTTGATTTCTCCCTTAAAAGTTACATGGTAAATTTTCTTTCTCATTCTTCCGAGATGGAAAAATTCAAAGATTATACAAATTAAAAAATATTTTTACAATGCTCATCCTATTGCTTGTTATTTATTGCAGTCTGAGGCCAGACTAAAAAGGTGACAGTTATTCGGCTCCTGTATGCCCTTGATGATAAACAGATGTCAAGGCAGGTGATAAAATTTCTGTCACACACAGAAGAAGTTTTAGCCACAGCTGTACACCTGATAAACACACCATTTCTCAATGCCCCCCAAGAAGCTAAGATAGCTGGTAATCCCTAATGTAACACTGGTGTGTCTAAATTATTAACACGGAAGGACTTTGGGAACTAAGAACTTAGGTATGAGTATAAGGCACTTACACCTGTGTTGTCCAGTATAGCAGCCATATTGAGCACTTGGAATGAAATGAGTCTAAATTGAGATGGGCTTTAAGTGTGAAGTACACACTGATTTCAAAGACTTAGCCCCAAAAATGAATGTTAAAACATCTCAGTAATATTTTTTTGTCACTGCCATGTTGAAATGATAATATGCTGTATATATTGGGTTAAATAAAGTATATTGTTGAAATTAATTTGACTTGTTTTTACTTTTTTAATGTGGCTAGTAGAAAATTTTTAATTATGTATGTGGCTCCTGCTGTATTTTTTTTGGATCGTGCTGGCATTAACAAACATGTCTATAATTTTTTAAATTAAAAATAAAAGTTTACTTTTAGTTTATCTGTTCTTACATATCTGAAATACTCTTGTTAAGAGTTCGAGATTAAATTTTAGTTTGACTTTGTAGTTGTTCAGACTGGCTATTATGTTTCCCTGTTTGATACATTGTATGATCATTTTAAAGCTCTTCTAAGGAAAATGTGTTTGTTTAGACATAATTTTATTAATTTTTTTTGAAAGCAAGAGATCCAAATGACCAAACGTAATGTGAAGGGACATTAAAACATGATTTCATGTAAGCGTATTTTTCTATCAGTAACTTTTTTATCCTATCAGTAACTTTTTAAGCCTGGATAATCTGTGAATATCTTTAGCTCAATTCCTGGCATGTTTTCAAAAATGCTAAACTTTAAGAAACAGTACATTAAACGTTTTTTCAAGCTTTATTTGAATTAATATTCTTGAAAACCAGTTGTGACTGTGATAAACAAGCATGAAGTTAAGTTGATGGAAAATCATCTGTTTAAAATTTCAACACGAGGAGAGTATTTAAGAACAATATTTTCTAAATGCTGGTTATACTTTTTACCTTCCTAGTCACAGACTTTGATCCTGAGAGGTATATATTTCCTATTGCTTCTGAACAAATTACCACAAATTTGATGGCTTAACACAACGCAAATTTGTTATCTTACAGTTCTGGAGGACTGGAACCAAAATGAAGTCTCACTAGGTTGGCCAAAGTGTTGGAGGGCTGCATTCTTTCCGGTGGTTCGAAGGCTAATCGACTCCTTGCCTTTTCCAGCTTCTGGAGGCGACCCACATTCCTTGGCCTGTAGCCAGCCCCCTTCCATCTTCAAAGCCAGCAATAGCCAGTCCAGTCTTTCTCAGGCTGCTACAGTCTGATTCCGACTCTCCTGTTTCCCTCTTTCACATGTAGGCATCCTTGTGATTACATTGGGCTCCCCTGGATAATCCAGGATAATCTCCCCATCTCAAGATCATTAACTGAATCACATCTACAAAATCCCTTTTGCCCTGTAAGGTAACATATTCACAGGTTCCAAGGGTAGGACAACTTGGGTGGGGTGGGGGACATTATTCTGCCTGCCACAAGGCCTGTTTATCTTCAGAGAAAGAAAGAAATCCTCTTACCTCTAGGTTTCATATCAGGAGGTCCCGCAGTATCAACAGGGCCTTCTTCATCCTCTAATCTAGGTGAAGATGCATGTAAAGATTGCTTTATTTTCATATATTTGGTATCTCGATTAGCATTTCTTTTGGAGTATAAGCACCTTTCTTTATGAAACACTTTTAAAGTATTTGAAAGTGAAATTTTATTACAGAATATTAAAGCCATTATTGAGAAAAATCTTTCACAAACAGGTTTAAGGTTGAACTTGGTCATTTGCTGACTATAAAATGTCAATCTTTATGATATCACCCTGCATTATTTTGGATATGCAATTATTGTGTTGCAGATGTTCTATCAACACATTCCAGAAAGGAGGGTCATAGAACACATTTGGCAGTTAGATTTGAAAAAAGAAAATTAGCCGGACTTTAGGGCTAATGTAGTTTTAGTAAACACAATTCTGAACTTAGATTTCAAAACTTAATTTCTAATGTCCTCACCATTAGCTGTAGAAAGAAGCTACATGGAAGAAGGCCTTGTTGATGCTTTGGTGCTTGGATAGTTAACCTCAGTTTGACTCATTTTTTTTTTTTATCATCAAAATGAAACCAACAGGTTTATTGTTTCTTACCCCATGGTTATATTTAAAAGACAAACAAGTATTATGTATGTATGTATTGGTACGTATGTATGTCTGTGGGTGTGTAGGTAGAGACAATTATAATGCTCAGATGAAAAACCTAGCTTTAGTCTCCACATAATGTTATGCAAGTACTAATTTATTAATTGAACCCAAGGCATAAAATGTATGAGGCTATGACAATCAGTTGGAATACAGCTTATAATACTTCTAAAATGTGATACAAGAACTCATCACTATCTCACCTTTCTTGAAAGGTTTAACTTTCCAATTGGAGGATTCTCCAGACTTGGAGAACTAGTTTCCTGTCTTTAGCAGATCTAGTGTAGAGGACAAATGGTGTAATTAATCATTAACTTGCCCTTGTATACCTCGAGTCGTCAAAGTGGCTGTAACATGTTGATATCAAAATTTGTTTCTGAAAATGTGTCCCCATTGATACTTTTAACACATTGACATTTTTAAGAGAAGCATTACTAAAATTTCCCGTTAATATTCCATCCCAGGCAACATAACATTTAAAATTTCTATCAGCTTAGCATTGTATTTTTAGAGTTTTTGTGGTGATAATCTAAATTAAAGGTAGAGATAATCCATTGGAATCCCCCATAGATCACCACCCAACCATATAATTATTAAAATGCTGAGTGATCGGGTTCTTCAGAGTGACGGAGTTGCTTTTATAAAAACTTAATGAGTGATGCACATTTACCATCTTGATTAAGAACATGTTTTGTATATATAGGAGTACTCGTTTTAAAGCAGGACTTCGGTAAAAATAAAAGGTTCCAGGTTATCCTGCAATGAAATGCTCAAAGGATGCTAAGGGAACAATGGCGCTATTGGGAAATGAGGACTTTCCTAGAAAACCCTAAGGATTTACCACTTTACGGGTGTAAATAGCTTGAGAAAATTTTATAGTTGCAGAGTGGAAAGATGAGGATAAAGCACCTAGAATGAAACCGATATAGTGCTTGATGAAACAGTCGTATAAAAATACATAGTAAAATGCCGCTGATGTTGAAATTAGCATTGTGATTACTACCCACTCTTTTCAAATATAATGTGAATGATAGAGTAAAGTAGGTTAACTCCTGGTCTCCTGCTTTGTCCACTTAATGAATTAAAACTTCATGGGTTTTTTGTTTTGTTCCCCCCACCCCACCCCCCGCCCCGTATCTACAATGCACAGATGAATTAATTCTAACTCAGGGCAGCAACCGTGTTGCTGTTTCTGGTATTCTTTTCCTGTTGAATGGTATGCAACTGACGGGGATCTCATTTCCAATGCCTTTTGACTATTCCTTTTTCATCTCTATGGGAAAATTACTGATACATTTAGTAACAGATGTAGCCTTCAGCAAATGTATAACTTAGGCAAATTTGGATAAGCTATTTTCTGAAATTCAGCTGAACATATTTTTACTCTCTGCTTGTCTGGTTATTAAAATCGGCACTGAAGAAATTTCATAATTGACCACTGCTTACTGAGAGTTTCATTTGCTCAGATGAACAATAGTGCTTTTCTTTACCACATTCAATACCTACAGAATTATACGTCAAGATTATGTCTTAAATTGTCCTGTTCCCAAAGGAATTAATGCTGATAAAAGCAAGAGGCAAAGTGTGGCTAACATGATTAGACCTAAAAATCTCATTATATAGTGATTATATCTAAATATCAGGTTTCCTATAGAAATTAATTATTTTTTAGTGTCACATAAAGGGACATGTATGTTATTAATGTGAATTGAGAGAGAAAGGTAGCAGTACAGGTAAAAAAAAAATTCAGATTCTTTGTTGAATAATTCGACCCGAGTAACTGTATACCTATAATTTTAGTCTGGCCTCACATGCTTTATGTTTTATTTTATTATTGTTATTATCGTTGTTAATTACATTATTATTACTACTACTACTACAGTTCTTTATTCTCTTATTAGATTTAATTTCCCTTTACAAAATATGCATGGATCAAAAACGTGACTTTGGGAGAGTATTGCTGAGTTGTTGCTGATGTCAGTTTCATATTGTGATATTTTTTTCTCTATTTACCAAGAGATCAGTATTTCAATATAACGATGTGCATGTTTTCCCCCCTTCTCCCGCTGCATGCAGGGATTCGGGTTCGTAACTTTCGAGAATAGTGCTGATGCAGACAGGGCCAGGGAGAAATTACACGGCACCGTGGTAGAGGGCCGTAAAATCGAGGTGCATGTCTTCAATAATTCAATTTCTGGTTTATATTTTGATTTCTGTTTTCGTGTATTGCCTCAACTTATTTCACATTTGGAACCCTGTCTTGTTTGTGTGTGTGTGTTTGTGTCCTTCACCCTCTTGCACTGAAATGTATAAAAGTAACATTTCTGTCTTCCTCCCCCACCTTTTTTCTTGTTGTTTGGGGGTTTTAATTTCGATTTACTCGTATGCATATGTATATGTGTTTTTCATTTACTTTTTTCTTCCAAAACGTTCATCCTTCTCTCTTGATTTTTTTCCTTTGCTTCAGTTTGCGAGACTCCAAATTCCTGTGATTAGGCCAAAATAAAACTAACTTTAAAAATGTCTGCAACTCTCCAATTTATAACATTGTGTCCTGTAATAAATCAAGGGGCCAGCCAATGTCCTCTCTCTGGGGAGGCCAGTTCGCCTCCATGTGTGTATGATAAGCAAGGGATAGAAGATCGTAGCAATTGTGGGGAGGGAGGAAAGATTCCACAATTCATGTAGTTGTCAAATATATTTAATGTCAAGAATTTCAGCAGTTAACGGTAAAATCCTCAAAGGGTTTGATGGTTACCTGGTGAATGTACTGTTATTGTGATCGAGTCAGCCACCAGGTGTTCACCAGCCCTTAATAAGGCAATGAAGGTTAACTGGCTTCTTTCCCCTTTCCCAGTTTTTAAAAGTATAAAATATAAAAGCCACCATTTTGAGTAAGATGTTTGCATATTTTGCTTTTTTTCCCCCCCTCCCTTTCCAATGGTTTAGCATTTAGGGCCCTTCACTTGAC